GTAAAATTATGATTGTGGCACTTCTAGATCGCCTAGAATGGCACTCAGACTAAAATTTGAATTTTTTTTTCACCACTTTGTTTTATAGGCCTAAATTTGATTTTCTTTGTTAGGGAGTGGGGAGCATTTTTTAGTTACAAAAATAAATTTTGTCTTACAAAAATACCATTTTTTAGACTAAATACCATTTTGTGGTGACTAAATAACATTTTGTGGTGACAAAATAAATTCTGTTTTACAAAAGATCATTTTCTTAACAAAATCATCATTTTATGGTAACAGAATAAACTTTGCCGAAAAAATAGTATTTTGTGGAGACAAAATGGTATTTTGTAGACAAAACAGGGAATGTCCCAAACGGCGTCTCGTATTAGGGTATGGTACTAGGGTATTGGGGGGGGGGCGCACACGTGGCCACCGAAAATAAATTCCACGCCCCCTCATATTTTGGTCGCGCCCCCAACCCCACACCAGCCCCCCCCCCATTTTAATACTGCTAGATACGCCACTGTTTCAATCCGCAGACACTCTTGGCCAAGGTAGACCGGGAAGGGGATACTGGTACTTTTCAGCTGTGTGTTGGTTTTATGGTAGAGATCTTTATAATCACTTCGGATATCCAATCGGTCTTATTTCTTCGAACTGGGTTGACACACCAGTAGAAGCATGGTCCTCCCAAGATGCTATAGATGCATGCCAGTACTTAAGCAGAAAGAAGCGCCGTGGCTTCCGGGACGACACGTAAGTTAATTACAACAAAAATCAGCCAAATAAAAATGTTATTCATGATAGATCTAATAATAGGCCTAATGATTACAATAGTAATGATAAAGATAATATTGTTAATAATAGGCCTAATAATAGGCCTAATAATAATAATAATAATAATAATAATAATTGTCGTTATCTTTCTTTTAATTTCTAAAGTGTATTGTGGAATAGCATGATTCATCCTTTTAGTCGAATGGTAATCAAGGGGGCAATATGGTACCAAGGTAAGAACACCACCAACTGGTTAAATTTCAAATCATGCGCGCATGAAAAAACAGTCTTCTGATTGGTTGTAATATAATTGTTTGTCAGGTGAACGTAACACTGATGCCCCCAACACCTACAACTGTACATTCCCTGCTATGATAGACGACTGGAGAAAGAAATGGTACGAGGGAACCGGTGGACTAACCAACAAGAAATTTCCATTTGGTTTTGTGCAGGTACAACATGTAAAATTGAATTCACGCGTTTGTTTTATAACGTTTTTTTAAAAGACGCATCTTCGATTAGATGATATTTGCAATTATTATGCCTTTACACTTTATTGATCATGGATTACGAATACACAGATCACCACCCAATCAAACTCAATCTGCACATTCTTCATTGTAGCTCTGCACATCTAGCGCGGTTCGACCAGGACGTATTGGAAATTACCCAATTTTGAGGTGGCACCAGACTGCTGACTTCGGATACGTACCAAATCCAAGAATGGAGAATGTATTTATGGCGGTATCTGTTGATCTTCCCGACCCAACATCTCCATTAAAGCCGTAAGTGAAGTATTTCAACATCAATTTGATGAATTTACATTTATATATCATCATGTAATATTTCAATTAGGCCCATGTGGATTAAAATAAAAATCAAATAATTTTTATTGCAACTGATCATTATTTAAAAATATCGCTATCGTCTTCAAAATCAGTACCCGCTGCTTACTGGACTCGAATTCAACACTGGCCATCAGGCACAAGCTCGGTGGTCTAGAGGTATGATGCCAGGCTAGTAATCTGGAGATCGTGGGTTCGAGTCCCACATGAGGACAACTTGCGATTTTTTCGCAATTGATTTTAAACGTACGTGTACTGAGTATTCAGAACATTTCCACGGCTGGTAGGGCAAAATTACACCTACACATCAAAATCATTACCACCATCATCATCACCACACCACCACCACCACCACCATTTTTAGGCTTATATCAGCATCATTATTTCAATTATAATTATACCAATTATAATTATACTGTGGCTTGTTATTGTTGTTATCATTAGCAATATTATTATCACCATCATTATGATAACCAATATTATACTATTATCATTCATCATTTGAATTATGTAGTTTGGTACTGTTACCATTATCTATATCATTATTGTTTTAATCATTGTAAACCAATTGATGTTTACTTACGCAATCATACGTCATCAATTATTGGTTTGTCTTATAGATTAACTTATAGAATATATTTACAAAAATAATTAGATCATTTTTGTGATAAATCACTATCCTTACCATCATTATCATTATTTTCATAGTCACTTGCACTAAAATTGTTTGCATGTCCGTCTTACAGTATCCATCCTCGATACAAACAAGACGTCGCTAGGCGCCTTGCCTTGGCATCCAGAGCTGTGGCCTACGCCGAAAAGGACTTAGTTTTTGCTGGACCATTCCCTACCAATATAAAAATGACGAATACTTCGTTTACAATTGAATTCGACCACGGAAATGCAAATATTAAAGTTGTCAGTAACAAAGGATTCGAGGTAGGCTGTATTTAAACCATTTAGTATAAAAATGCTACATAGCGTATGAGTTAGTTTATTTTAGAAATAAGAGATTTTAAATTTCAGAATAATATTTTATTTGACAAAATTTTGCGCACAACGATAAAGTAATACATTTTTAAATATGCCATTTAGTAGTCTGATATGCCAACAAGATTGCTGCCGTGGATCCAGCCTATCAAAAATTCGCCCAAGCATCGTTTTGAATAGCGCCCTCAATGTAACTATGAAAGTTTTGAGTACACAGCTTGGTGGTCTCTTTTTCCAGAAAAATTTGTTGCTAAATAACGGGTTTAGCCGAGGGGCGTGGCTTGTATGGTGGCACGTCATGTATAGATTATACCGTCTACCTAAAAACATCGCACATACAATCTTTGATACAATACACCGAACCGAAACACTGATTAATGCCATTTCTGGGCATCAGAGGTGCCATAATCATAATAGATTATGGGGTTCTTGATTAGACATTTGCGACGCCCGTGCGAGGAGGGGGTGCCTAAGGGAGGGGGCATAGGTCGGGAAGAAGTTTTGTGGAGGAACACTGCTTTGAGAAAGCATTTTTACCATTTTTTTTACCATTTTACCATTTTACTAATAGTACAATATTCAAATAGTATTTAATTACGTTAACGAAGTGGTTTTATTGTCTACAGATCTGTTGCGTAAATTCATTATCGTTTTGTGCCGAGAATGATCAGCAGTGGATTTCGGTGACTGTAAACAAGTTGGTAGCGCCATCTATAGTCCAGTTTTCACATCCGTGTGAATCAGTGATCACTCAAGTTCGATACCTTTGGAGGGAGTATCCATGTGCTTTCAAAGGATGCGCATTATACAGCGTTGTGAATAACCTTCCAACGCCACCATTTATTTATAATGTAATATACCATGACCTACTTACTAAGCCTAGTACTGGCAGTGCTCGGGGATCAATCCCGTCAGACACCTTAGTCCAAATACCAAAAAACATTGTGTTGGCCACGCCCAACCGACCCAAAATGTACGAAATTAAGGTTCGGAATTTTATTTCTATTTATTTATTTATTATTATTTTTATTTTGTTATTGCTAAAACATAAGAAAAGGACATGATGGTACATCGTGTAGCATAGCTTTCAACGAATGTTGTCCTATAAATAAATAATAAATACATTATGTAATTAAATTCCACCGACGGGATATTTTATTTGAACACTGTATTTACCTTTCTTTAGTGATTTATATATAGGCCTACCGGTAATTTAACAATGTTAAAGGCTATCTTGATATATATATATATATATATATATATATATATATATATATATATAT